GTGCATCTCCCACACGTTGAGTTCGCCTACAACAATTCTGTGAACCAGTCTACTGGGTTGGCGCCCAACGAGATCCACATGGGACGTATCCCGCGACTTCCGCTTTCGGTCTTCGATCATCCCTCAGTCGGTGGTCATCAAAGCTTGGACCGTGATCAACTCGAGTATTGCAACCTGGCAGTAGATCGGCAACGCCGAGCGTACGACCTGGTCCGAGAGTACAACGCTGTGAAAAATTCGAGAGTCGAATGCCGCAATTCATCCATGCTGGACGCCATCAACAAGATTCCGAAGTTTACTGTTGGAGCGTGGGCTTGGGTGTACAACACGGCTGCTACGATTCGCCAAGGTGCGCGCAAGGACACCGATCAACAGGTGCTCAAGGCCAAGTTCGCGCTCTCCTGGACGGGACCCTACAAAGTACTTGCTGTGGGGCCAGCCTCTGCGAAAGACACCCCGGACGGACACCCATTGGCTCACAAACTGCTCTACCTTGACCCTCCTTCTGATCTTTCGGGCCCAGCAGCTCGTTCGAGGGTGTCTGTTCTTCGTTGCAAGCCCTGCCGCAACCCGTATGAGACGGACGATCGGCCACAGTCCATGCCTGCAGAACTCTCTCGCTATGTTTTGCATTCTTTCGGAGATAAGTGTCCGCCGTTTCATGTCACCCCAGATGATGTGTCGGCGCCGGTGGGACGTCTGAAGGTTGACTACATTTCGGGACACCAGCTGGTGCGTGGGCGTAGAGGCGTTCTCGCTGTCCTGTATCACACGCATTGGATTGGGCTTGCTACTCCTTCCTGGGAACGTGAATCCGACCTCGAGCAATCCCGTCGACACATCCTTTTGTATTGGTCTCGGGAAATTAGCCAAAGCAAGCAGGGTAACCGCGCTTACCGCAACACTCGGACGCGCGCGGCACAGCGGGAGCTCGCACGGACTCGTGGAGAACGTTATCTGCCCCCGGGAGCCGATCTTGTACTTCACGAGACTTGGCTTCGCCGTTTCAGTTCTTCGCCCTTACCCGTGGGAGCGAGGCTGTGGTACAAGGCTCGAGACGGATTATGGTGGACGGGACTTATCGGGGCTCATCAGGGCGACTCTTACATTGTTCGGTTCCTCGATGATCCTGGGCCCACCGTTCTTCCCCTGCCTGAGGATCTCTATTCCACCGCCTTAAACGCCGTCTGTGGATCCTGGTGTCTGGAGAAACATCGTTCCCGCCTTGTGGGCGACATCAGCGTCCGCATCCGTCTTCCCGCTGACTCCTTACCGTCAGCCGTCCCCACGGTTTCTTCTAAGTGTTTGGTATTTCAGCGCCTTGCGGGGACACTTCCCATTTTTTGTATGTTTTGTGTGTTTTATTTTGTTTTATGCCTTCCTTTTCATTGGTGATTTGATTTTCTCAGATCTTGCGTCTTGTTTTCGCTTCCTCCGTTTTTTTTTTTGCGTTTTTTTGGCTTCCTAGTTCTGCTCACTTCTGTTTGACAAACTGGGACCGAAAAGAAAAGAAAAGAAGAGAAAAGAAAAGAAAAGAAAAGAAAGACCTGCCAAAACCGCTAACCCGGTCCTCGGTTCCCAGTGTTCTGTTTGATCGTTTCGTAGTCCACCGCCGTTGCTGGCGGAATAGGGCGAGTGTTCTCCCTTTCGAGTATGTTTTGGTTGAGTTCCCCGTTCTGGATTGTGATCAATGTCGTTATTCTTTGTCTGCCTGCGTTTGCCCGTGGATCGCCGCGACCTGGACGTGTCCTTCTCTGTGCTTCTTCCTTCTTGCTTGCATTTCGTCTATCGTGCACGCACGCACGCAGAATATAAAATACTCGCTCCATGAAGGCAGAGGACGGCTGAATCAGTGATGTTCGGTGTGTCCTGTGTTCCTGTGTTGGTCTTCGGTCTTTGGTCTTTGCGTCTTCTCTCTCCTCTCTTCTTGTGCAAGAATCAAGTAGTTAATATCAACAGTAGTAATCAAGGTTGGTTTAAACAACGAATGTTTTTAATTAACACCGAATCTATCTCCAATCTCCAGATGTACAATTTGTTGTCTGATCTGTGAACGAACTTGAAACTAAAGAGAGTTAAAAGACCAAGAGGCTTTGAAGGGGATAAAAAAGCTCTGTTTTGGTTGTTACAATGAGCTGTCTGGGCGTCTGAGCCACCCCTTACCCCCATCTCACTCGTGCATAATCACCGCTCGCTATGCACGATAACCCCTGTTATGCACACTTTTATACATAAAATATACTTATATATATATGCGCGCTCCAACTTGCTTTTGCTTATGCACGAAAAGCTCAGCTATGCATAAGCATAAGCATGCATAATAACAGGTCAGGGCGTATCACTTGGTTGGGTTGATTTCCCTTGTTCGCGACCGACACCCTCTGCTTGCCGAGAGTTAGTTGTTGTTGTTGTTGTTGTTGTTGTTTCTCCCATCATTGGACTCTGTCGTCTGCCCCTCTGGCCCCTATCCTCCACTTCTACCAGCTAGACGACCCAACCGGGGTCACATAGGAGGGGGGGGTTGGACCCCCCTCCTGCGGTTCCTGCCTGGGATATTTTTATCGCGAGAAGGGTACATACAGCAATTATTCCTTCTTCCCTCGCGACTTATTGTTATGAAGTCGGTCGAGTTTACCAACAACGAGCTTTGCAGCGCGTCGGTTCCAACGGAGAGAGTATAGGTGCTTGTATTTACGGGGGCTCAGAAAAGACCTCGGTTTTGAGCCCTGCTCGAAAACTTGAGGACAACAGCAAAAAAAAAAACGCATCAAAAACGTCGAAGAATTGAACGACACATAACATACAGACTATATTGGTGAAATTGAGAGCGAAGTACTAGACCCCGAGTGGGGGGAGTTTTTTCCGCGCGCACCATCACAACAGCATAACCCGTGCTGCGGAAAGTACCTGCAGTAGGCTGGGTCGTGCGCCCCCCGTGAATATGTGTTGCTTTTGTTTTGGTACACACCCGAAATGTTGTTGGTGCGATGTTGTTGATGCGAATCGTTTTTGTCAGCACTTCGTATTCGTTATAAATAGACGCCTAAATGAATAAGTAGAAAAAAATGCCCCACCACTCAGAACACAGCAGCAGCAGAATATTTGAACTAGCACGCGAGTTGTCGCCGATCGCGAGCCCCTCCTCACTACGCCCTGTCGTGGTCTGCAAACCACACGCGAACACCCTCTGTGATATGCAGATAGTGAAAGCCGCGAGCTGTAGAGGAGGGGATGCGTGGTAGCTGATATGNCTCACTACGCCCTGTCGTGGTCTGCAAACCACACGCGAACACCCTCTGTGATATGCAGATAGTGAAAGCCGCGAGCTGTAGAGGAGGGGATGCGTGGTAGCTGATATGAACACGTGCCAAAGTTGGCCACTCGGTGTTGTTGTTGTTGTTGACTTCACATTAAACCGTATGCCAGTTGCTA